GACTACCTTGACTACTCTACCTTTCGCTATCGACACGCCTGTAACGCCAGTGGTAGCCGCCTGCTACGAGTACTCGAAGAAGATTCGTGTCAAATGCCATTGTCGCTCCGAGTCCCATTCACCATCTTTGATCCACGTTAAAGCGGTGCCTAATTACAAATGCGAAAGAGGTGCAAAATGGCAGGTCTGACATGGTAACGGCGTAGAGGAATGTAGATGGGTATCGATCAGCATACCCCTCGATTACAACACTCCGACCTCGATTCTCTCTCTCTCCCTTAGAAAATTGCCATCAATTCATGTCTGGCCAGGTGCTCCTCTTCCAGGTTGGGATAGTATGGCACCATGGCATCCGCCGAGTGCACATAGGCGTCGTTATATAATCTCCAGTAAGGCGTGCGCACCTTTCTGGCCGGGTGAAAGAGACCGGCCCAGACGTAGTTGAGGACGACACCTGTGCCGGCGGCCACACGCACAGCATCGATTGCTTCGATCATCCGATCGATAACGTGAGGTGATGTCTCGAACACGTTCGGCAAGAGAAGGTTGAGCAAGTGCAGCATTGCGTCTTCACATCCAAGACCAACGACACCTAGAGCCACGTGCTTGACCACCGAGGCAGCCGTTTGACGATGGACTTGGTCGCGGTCAATGAGAGCATCTTCAAGGAGTGGCGTGACAGCGTAGACGTAGTCTTTTGCCATCTCGCCAATATACTCGAAGAGGAAAGACAGTGACTTGAGCACACCGTTTTGCACATTCAGCTCAGGGACGCGATATTCGTTCATCAGAGCTGGAAGGACGGTGAAAGGTGCGCAGGTTTCGGCGACGATACCGATGGCAACAGCAGTACAGACACGCGATTGACGCTCCTGTACGCGAAGATTGTTGAGGAGAGTTGCGAGCACATCCTGAGGACCAATGGCCTTGGCGATGAAACCAAACGTGTTGTTGGCTGCTCGTCGAATACCCTTCTTGTGAGCTTTCAGCATGTCTAGTAATTCGAAGCAGATACGCATCCACTCTCTCGGGTTGACACTTTCTGGCCCACGGTCTGCGATACGACCGACAAGATCGATCGTGTTCTCTTGCACCTTTTCGTGACGATTACGCAAGATGGGTGTCAAGCGAGGTAGAAGATCCTTGATAGGTGGAACGACTTGGTTGATACCGACGACTGTGACGATGGATCGAAGCGCACCAAGCACAGAACCCAAGACTTCGGGATATTCTTCACCCAAGTTTTCGTACAAGGTTCGACTGATCGTACCGAGAGCTGTTTCTTGACCGCAGTGCTTCATGACGATGGCGATTCGGGATATCAGATCTCCAGCTTGTTGTCGTACTGTGGGAGACTTGTTGGCCATCCGGAAAAGGATCGTACTGGCAATTTGTGGTAGATAGGGCGTGCATCGGGTATCGAGAGCATTGACCACAGTTCCGAAACCGTTAAGAATAGTGACATCCTCCACAGTCTGCTCCTGGAATGCAGTAAGGATACCGTCCACAAGACGCTCTTCAAGACGCTCGTTGATGTCAGCGGCACCTAGACTGGCAATACTCTTTTCGATGGTCTCCATTGTCATCTTTCTGTAAGCCTCGCTTTCGTCTTTCAGGTTGTCAACTACTCGTTCAACGATCTCACCACAACCGACCTTCTTTCCTAGATCGCCAGTGGTTTCCACTACTTGGACGTAATTACGCTTGTCAAGTGCCATTCTGCGGACCCAGAAACACTTGAAAAAGTCGTCAAGTACAGTGTCCTTGAGGTAGGCGGCAGTCACGCCGTTAGTGTTTGCACATTGAGATAGAACCTTCAAAACGACCTTTTTCATCTCCTCGTCGGGTGAGGAAAACTCGCGCAGCAAGATCTCCATGATCTGGCTGACATAGTAATTGGCGAACTCTTCGTCCATGAGAGGGACAACGAAACCGACAGCCTTGAGGAAAGCAGCGAGACCCTTGCCACGCTGCTTACGTGCTCCTGTCCATAGAGGGTTGAGAATGTCGTCGAAGCTCTCGATACCGTATGGATTGGCGGCCTCGGCGAGAGCGGCGATGGCCAGAGCAGTGACAGTCCGAACCTTTGTCTGCTCGTCATTGAGATTGTCGCCTATACAATCTACGAGACCCTTCAGATGTGGAAGCACGGCACAGCCCATGAGAATAGGGATTTGCTGTACAATCTTGACACCAGTGTGTCTTGCCTGCCACGACTTCTTACTCTTGCAAACGGCGCGCAGGAAGGGAAGAAGAGCGGGGATGCCGAGAGCGCTGGCAACGACGGCAAAGGCACGAGCAGTTGTGTTTCGGACATACTCGTCTGCGTGGTCGATATCGGGACGCATGGTGGAAATCATGTGGGCCAAACCGGCGGCTTTGGCGAGGTTGGAAATAATTTCACGACCTTCGACACGAGCATAGTAGTCCTGGTCGATGAGTAGAGGCTCAATGACAACAAGAATTTTGTGAGTGTAGGGGCGAACAAGGTCATCGAGCTTGTATAGAATACGGTCAATGACCTTGACCAACAAGTGACGTTCTTGATCTTCCAAAGTCTTTTCCATGAGCAGTGGCAGGATCTGGTCAAACAGGGGTCCGGCACCAAAGGAGCGAGCATTGTCAGTCAGTTGACGCAATGCAGTCTTGCGCATGGGCGGAGTGCCGTTCTTGACTTTGATCAAAAGACGCATAATCTTGCGCTCCTTGAGCTCCTCGACGCTCATCTCATTCTCGTCGGCACCGTCTACCAGCTTTCCGAAGTAGGCCATGTCCTCTGGCTTGATACGCAGATCACCCATGCTCTGAAACTCGGTAGTAAGATCCTTGCCCATGGAGCGCGGATCGACGGGCTGTTGCATCATGAAGCCTCCTTGTAGCGAGGCAGGAGTTGCAGCGACTTTGTGTGCCGGAGCGCGCAGTGGCTCGTATCCAGGTGGGAAAGGCAGGATCTTGTAGCCGTCTGAAGGCAGCATGGCGTCCAACTCTTCGTCTGAGAGGGGAGCATTGCGGCCGGAAATGTCAGTACCAAAGCCGAAAGCAGTTCCCTGCGAAGGGTGCATTGGTGTGGCACCTCCCACATTGCCAACGGGAGTGGCACCGCCCAGAGAGGGAGCCATATCGAAACGAGACTTCCTTTTTGGTACTGCGGCACCATCTTCTGGGCCAGGAGTGGCATCCCATCGAGATCTCTTGGGCTGTGCTGCATCCTCGCTCTTTGCTCCATTCGTGGCGTCCTCAGTCGCAGGTGTGTCCCATCTGTTCTTACGCTTGCGTGGTGCAGCAGTGGCACTTCCGTTGCTTCCATTCTCTTTTGCTTCACCATTCTCCTTGGCCTCGGCATTGTCCAGCTGAAGAGTGGGCTTGTGCTCGGTCTTCACGCCATCCATTTCATCGCCATCCTTGGACTGCTTGTCAGCGATGAGCTTGAGCACTCTCTCTTCTCCTCGCTCAATCTCACGCTGTTGCATAATCTCCTTGTAGCTCGTTCCGTTCGCCTCGCCGTCTTTGGCATATGGATCCGCTCGCGTCGGGCTGAGCTGGCGGTTGAAACGTCGCTTCTGGTAATCCGTCTCGCGGTTCTGAATCTGTGCCTGTTGTTCGCGGTCTTGCAGCACGTCGTCCTCACCATGGGCATATTCGTTCATGATCTCTTTGCTGGCCGTATATTGCCCGACCAGCCGGCCTCCGTTCTCGCCATCCGCATCTTCCATGTCCTGGTCGTCATCATCGTTGACGGCGATGGATGTGTTGTAGCCGGCATACTTGTCGCCGCTGTTGTTCCCGTACAGTTCGGTATCGGCGTTTTCAGTCATGGACAGCTTTCCAGGGTTAGTGCGCTGGTTGGAAGAGTCGAAGGCCTTGAAACCTTTGCGCTCCTGCTGGAGGCGTTGAATCTCTGCTGGCGCCACTCTGTTAGCCTCGATATTTTTGCCATGGTTGTTTGCGCATCCAAACCTACCGTCAGACATGGTTGCTAATTCAGCACCAAGTGGACCTCGTTGTCATTGATATAGCAAATCTGCCGCGATAGAGGAGGTGCAGCGCGCCTAACTTTGACGTGAGAATTGCGTGAAGGCTGGCCGACACTTTGATGTCGATGTGGCAAGAGTTACCTTTTATAGCCGATGAGCTGATGTCCTGGTACTGAATGATACAAGTTGAAATGTCCCGCTTGCTTGTTCACTTCTGCCTTACCTATTGGCAGTTATCGGAGGCGCTTCGCGCTTGAGCCTCCCACCCGCGCTGCGTCAACCTTGGCAGCTGCTCTTTCACCCACCCCGCTACTCGTACCTTAATCAGGCAGTCATAATTCAAACCATTCGCTACTGAGCCACTTCACTCTGTGACTTAGTGCAAATAAAAGGTACAACAGGCTTGTGCATGCGATCAGATGAAAATTTCGCCCTATTGTTCTCTCAACTATCCTATGTCTCCGTTGAGCACGCTCGGGATACAGTCAAGTGAGCTCATGGACAGATGCATTCCTAACCTGGTCCGCTTGAGTTACTAGTACCTTCAATATTACTGATACACACCCATACTCTTCTCACCGTTGCTCTGCAAAAGAATTTGCTTAGCAGCTCCCACATGCTATTACAAACAGACATATATTCTGAAAGCTGCACATGGTGGATCTGCTTTGTGAGACTTTCACATCTCATCTCATCTCGAGGTCATGAATGTAGTCGCATTACTATAACACTCTGTTGCCACATCACATACGCCGAGGATTTCTATCAGACATCTGCGTGTGCCCGTGTATGATATCTATCCTCCATCGCTGCCATTTCCCTGTCTATCTCCGTTGTTCTCTTCTACGTCTACGAATAAAGTTGCATAGTCATAATACATCATGCTCTCCTCATCGCTCAAAAATGCTTCCAGTTATTACGTACGCAGACTGGAATTTCATGGCATAGAGAAAGAGCATCACAAATATAGGGGGGCCATCCTCTGAATGCAGTGAGGAAATCGCTGAGAAAATGGCAAAAGAAGATCTCCCCCGCCTAGGCTTGAACTAGGAACCTCTCGATTGCAGTGAGCATGAGAACTCGCACTAACAGTCGAACGCGCTAGCCAATTGCGCCACGGAGGATTTAACTGATTTATCAACTAGTGGCAATGAAGGTTCGGGTATCAACCGAGAATATATCCTTTGACATTCGCTCTTGACACGCTGAATTGGCGTGCGAAAACTATCGCCTCTCGTGCACACGCGTCGTACCAACTGGGATACGTACCAGCCGCATGGAAGATAGCGCGAATCTTACCATTACGGAAGCCAGGGAAACCTGACTACCGAGTAGCGAAAGCATACTGTCCTATCTCCCTCTTAGCTACGCTAAGCAAGTTGATGGAACTAGTACTAGTAAGAAGAATATCGTACTAGATAGAAACTTTCAACCTCCTTTTAAAAACACAATTTAAAGCTAAGCTACAATAATTATGCAATTAAGCGCTGCTCTTTTTAACTGAGAAATTTTTTGAAGCGTAGTAATAAAAGAAAGTTCTCTTTCTTATTAGCTTTAATATGAAAGGAGCATATAACAGCGTCTCCTAATAAGTGCTTATTAATTAGCTACACGTAGAGGGAATACTGGCTTATATAGTAGCATAGGTCGACTCCTTTTATATAGATTGACTAGCTATAGTACTTATTAATAAAATAGAATTAAGCTAAATTACTTTTACAGAGTCTAATCTTTTATAAAAATCTACATTTGCTTTAATTTTATATATTTTATTTAATACCTTTTTAATAAAAGAGAAAATTAATAGGAAACAAGGAAATATAGAATTTATAAATAACTATATATAATAAGCTATTTCAAAGTTAGTTAAGAGAAACATATCAGTGCTTAATAATAAGGTTGTCCTAAAGGCCCTCTAATAAGCAAAAGATAGTAAAGCTATATTTAAAAATGATAAAATAATCCTTATATATTTTATATAGAACTAAAGGAAAATTAATAAAACTGACTCTTTATTAAAGGTAGGCAACTACGTAATTAAGCTTTTAATAAAAGAAAGAATCTTAAAAGTTATTTTTAATTCTAAACTATAATTTAAGAATCACTTAGCCAAAGTCAAAATTAGAGGATAGAGAAGCGCTAGCTAACTTAAGCGCTTTGCTAGTATTAGACTATAAGCAATATAGCAACTCTATTAAGCTATAATAGCTTTAAAAACATATTATGTAGCAGTAATATAGTACTCTTATTCTCTTAATAAAAAGATTGATAATAGCATTATTAGAATCCTTAATTCTATATAATAAATAAGAGCTTAAAAAGTAGTTAAATGTTTCTATACAGTTTCAATTGAAGCGTTTAGTACTAAAGCGTTGCTTTCTCTTTTATATATTTAACTGTAATTAAAGATTAGCAAATTCTAAATAGGATTCTATATATTATTAGAATCTAATTTATTAAAAGCATAGCTTAGAAAACTGATTAAGAAGCCTAAAGCGAAGTTATTTATTTCCTCTCTTTATAATATGGAAACGCAGCTAAGCAAATTGGAAATAAATATTGAAACTATTTTAATATAAATAGCTCTATTATAAAGTATAATAATAATTAACTAAGAGTTTAATTAATACAGCTCTAATAAAATATATAAAAACTACTTTAAGATAAAAAAACAGTATTTAAATATCTTTACTAATAGCTCTATTACTAATAGATAAATATATTGGATTTAGAATAACTGTATATTCTAAGAAGTCTATACTATTGTCCATCCTCTCCTAACGGATTAAAAAGAAAGGTAGCACTAATAGTATAATAGTAAAACTAGTTGCAATTAAAAAAGCTATAATTCTAGCTGGAATTCTATTAAAGACATTTTATAATTATAGAAGGCTAGTCCCGCTAGTGTTAATATAATCTAATAGTTAAATAGCTATTTAGATAATCAATTGCTAAATTAGCTAAAGCAGGGCAGCTATAATATAAAGCATCTTATATATAATTAACTATTACGCAATTCTTAAAGGAAAGCTGGCTATTTAATAAATTCTAAAGAAGTTTGCTATTATAAAACACATTAAGTTAAACTAACTAGCTAAATAAGCTATAAGTCCCTTTACTATAAGGTTAATTATAAGGGAGACAATCCTAAATAGCTTAAAGTAAATATAGAACACTCTTTAAGACAAGATCCTTATTAAAGAATGTTAAAAACTATGGAACACTAGTAAAGGTCTTTATATAATAGATAGCGCTATTTCTAATAAGCATACTATATTATTTTATAATAAGCTGAATAGGAAGGAGGCCTTTATCCTATTATAGCTTTATATAAAATACGCCTGTTTAAATAAGTTCTTAGAAGTTATTAACGTTATAGACTTAAGCTAATATAAATGCAAATAGGAAAAGGAGATAGTCTGACACTTTATATTGTTCTACTTTAAGTACTTAATTTAAAAACAGAATATCTCTAGAATAATTAGGGGACAAAACCCTTATATAGCAATAGGATAGCCTTATAGAGATAAACTTATTAACTAATAGAAAGCAGATATAGATATAATCTAGGCAACTATTAGATACGTAATAAATATAGGAAGGCTGGACTTTGCAGAGGAACATAGGAGGTTAGAGGAGAAAGCCGAACAGGGAGACTAAGGAGACAAGGTAGGGGACAGAGAAGGAGAACCAGAAAGCAAGAATAGAGATTAAAAAAAATACGTATATATACTGACTATAGCACTTGCTATAAAACACTTAAATAGAATAGATATATAAGCATCCTAATAGTTTAAGCTGCAGAATGAGGCGCAGACTTTAAATATTTATATAATTAGTAAATAAGTAAATAGTAGTTGCTTATGCTTCCAGTGGCAAGCGCATAGCATATAAAATAATCAATTAATCAATTAATCAATCATTATAAGACAGTCAAAAAAAAACAATAATTGATATTTTTTATTAATATTCATTATTTTATTAATAGTTTTATTTATAAGCTGACATAACAAGTTGGATTATCCAACTCCTATCAGTTTTAGTTAAAGGAAAGGGTGCTGCCTAACTATCCTAGTAACGCTGTTACTATAATTATACTAATATTATCCCTAAAGAGATAGAGCATTGCTATAATAATGCAGAAAAGAGCTAGAAACACTAAACAAAGCAGAAGGATGATTTAGCCTATCTGTTCCCTTAATCTAAGTGATAATACTGTTTTTGTAAAAGATATAATAAAACGTCTTATTAAAAAAGCAATAAATGCTTAGAATAACAAACTCAATGCTTAGAATAATAAACTTAATAAGCTGCTTAAAGGCTTCTAGACTTAGAATGAGACTTTCCATTAGGAGAATATTACCCTAATAGCGATATTTAATATTATTGTAAAGAAAAACGAGAAGCTCAAAAAGAAGCTTAATAGCATTAAAGCAGATATTAAAAATATTAATGCTAATATTAAAGCCTTAGATACTGAGGTCTAATTTATTAAATCCAGTATTAATAAAGGGAAGACAGTCCTCTTGACCTTTAAACAAGTGAGCTTAATATCCTTAGCTAACCCTAATATAGTAGCCTCTTTATTAATCTCCTATATTTTAGCAGTATTAAGCTTAATTAACCTATTATTATTAGCTATATAGCTTTAATATAGCAACACTATAGTAATAATATTACCTACCTTCTTTAAAAAACTATACCAACTTCTAAGCGTTATAATAGACCTAAGCCAAATAATAGCTAAATAGCGTAAAATAATAAATAACTATAAAGCAATTAGGGATAAAATCTAGGAAGCCATTGCAGCCTAATAATCTATAAATAATATTGTTATTAAAGGAATCCAATTTAAGGCAAGGGATATAAGAGTTATTACTTAAAATAGGAAAGATATAGCATAACTATAAATAAATAAAATATAAGTTCACTAGGTATTTAAAATGGCCCAAATCCAGAAAGAGAAATCTTTCCTAATTAAGGTTAATAATATATATAAAATAGCAGTTCTAATACTAGGTATCTATAAAATTAAACCAGAACTGGCAGCTGAATTTAATATAGAAAATAGGTTTGCTAAAGCTATTAAGGCATTCTAGCTCTCTAAAAGGGAGAAACCTATAGGATCTATAGTAATATACCTCAATATAGTAGAGGACGCCTAGAAAGCGCTTAAGGAACGCATAGTCTAAGTTAATAGCAGTATAGCTATAGTTAGCTAATACTATAAGATCCAACGCCTTTAGAGATGCTATAACTGTAATAAATATAGCTATTATTAGGCTAGATGTAGCTAACTCCTAAAATATAGAAAATGTGCAGACAATTATAAAATTAATAATTATATAGCTATAATGCTAAAGTGTGCAGCATATAGAGGACTATATATAGCTATAAACCTTAAATATACAATATATTAAAATGAGATTAGTAGAATCTAAAGCGGAAACAAACCCTCTAACTAGCCTATTAAGGCAAGGGAAGAGGACTAGTAGACAGTTATAAGCTAACGTACTAGACAGGAAATCACTATAAGCAATATATAATAGGGAATATCTACTTCCTCCTAGTGAATGTGAATAGATAATCCCTAGTTTAGCTTAGCCTTATTAACAACTAGTCTATTAGCCAGTTTATAGTAATTTTAATTATAGAATTAAGTATTATTAGCATTAAAGGCAAATTATACGTTTTATAATATTAATACTAAATTATTATAACACTATTAATATATTAAGAAGGACTAATGCACTACGCGTTCTAATTAGCATTTTATATTTATAAAGATATTCTATTTATCCAGATTCTTATAATGTTATTTAATATAATAATAGGGGTTATTATTATATTAATAAAACATATTTTTATAGTATTAATCTACATTCTAGGCTGTAGCAGATATATGCTTTCTAAACAGGACTTACAAGAGATAGCTACTACTAGGCTCAATACTCTAAGCAGAGCAATCTAGGAAGTAAAAGCTAAATATAGAGAGAATTTTTATATTATAACTAGAAGTGATTTCAATTGCTATAACCTAATATAAGGAGGAATTAATATGCCACAATTACAGTATAAAGAAGAAAGCAAACTAGTGCTTTAATAAATGCAATAGTATAATACT